CGCGACGAATTTCACCTGTGGAATCGAATCAAATCCTCCATTACTCACATAATACTGAGGACGCAAAGATGTGTTCCAAATATTTTTTTCTGGGTAGCGTGTATTGATGACCACAAAACAACTCCGAAGCTTCAACATAAAGACAACTCAATAACTTTTTTCTGTCTTGGTTCGAACTGCTTCGACAAGATACGGAAGTCATAGTGGCATTTAAGTCAAATACGGCATTCACTGTGCTCACAATTAACTTACTGATTGCAGCACACCGTAAGATTATTCTGGTCACACTTATTTCCTTATGCACAAAACCAAAGATCTTTCTTCCGGTAAAAAGGAAGCGGAAACCTGACTAAATTGAATGCAGTCGTGTGGCCGATTGACATTACAGCCGTTTGAGGTTGTTTTAATCAAAAAGACGCGTGTAAATGACAGGTGGAAAAGCACGATGTAACAGATAAATCAACGGCTCGGATCATGTAACCGAAAATCAGATACAAAGACAAGGATCCGCGCAGTAGCAGATGCAAATTCTCCGGTAAAGAGTAGGCTATTGTTGAATGAGGGGAATTAAGCAATTTCGCTAACCTTTGTGAGGACTTGTTACATGAGTCACGAGCGGAAGGCATGCATCTCCGTTCATGTAATTGTTCTCATGGCGTAGTGGGACGTAGAACGTTACCCATTATCAGCACCTCTCTATGAACTTTGGGACATGGGTTGGATTTTTCATTAAGAAAAATGCTGTTTTATCGCATTTGTGTATATTGTATGCTGCAGTCTTGAGAAAACTTGCTCTGAAAGCAAACACCGGGAAACCAGAATGTTTCTTCACCCATTGTATTTCCTTTTTTTCAATTAAGAACACTGGTAGCTATCGGACAAAAGCAACATGAAGAGTGGAGAATTTCATTCGATTGTACTGAGTCTCATCGTGTACAGAGAAAACGGTCAGACATGTTAGTCGAGACAGACTACGGCAGTCTAAACGTCGCGATCCCGCCGTTGTACACTCAGAGATGTATTACTCATTTACTTTGTATTACGTCCGCCTGAATCAACAGGCTCCATATTTTTCCAGCAACTAGGGGATCGAGACAATGAACTGTGAATATAAAAACTTGGAAAACCGACGTCGCTCGTTGGATTCTCTTGGATTGATTCGCCAAATGACAATCTCGGGTGGTACAGTGTAGGTTCTGCAATGAGCGAGTGTTTGGTGGAAACGTTGTCTATCGCAAACACTGACCATTTCCCCAGTATTTGAAGTCACCGAAGTTGAACTTAAATTTTGTTTGTTTTCATTATTTTAGACTTTCTGTTCTCCACCATCTTCTAAACATTGATTGATCCACGCGTTCGACATTCCTCAATCCACACCAATTCTCAGGAGCCAAAGGAGTATTGCTTCAAAGAGATAATCATATAGGAACAGACCTGTCCTTTGTGCATATTAAATAACAAATAAAATAAACGATTTTACTTTCTTTTTTCCTTATCAACTATCGAAATGGACAATAAAACTTCAGGAAGGGGCCGCAACCATGCACAAGCTGCCTGTGGGAATACAGATAATGGGGGAAATGGGTAGTGGATGTGGGGTTCGAATTCAGTACCCTCAGGTGGTTACTTTGACCACCATCGCCCGTTGTAGGTTGAACTGTAACCGTTATCGCGATTGCTGAAATATACGCTCCCACATAGCTTGGATACATCTATGCGTTTGAGTGCTGTGTTATCGTGCACATCGTGCGTTCCCTTCGTATCCTAAACCTATTATTCTGCATTACATTTGGATTGTGCCTTTTTTTTATTACACACCTAGATATGATGAACAGCAGACGGGGTAAACCCTATAGTCACGAGGACCTGCTGTTCAGTGGTTGAAATCGGCAACTTAAGCCCCGGAACTTGCAGTTTCGAACCACATAAGGCCCCACTAGGTTAGGCGTGGTATTGAACCGGACGACAGCAAAGCTGCCTACCACCAAAGTCGGGTGGCGGGGCTCGAACCTCAGACCATAGGGTCCTAAGCACGCCAGTGACAGCGACCAAACCAGTGCGCCACCACCACGCTCTTGTATTCTATACGATGTTTTGTGCGTTATATTTCTTCGACATTTGCGGTATGTTCATCGCTACGGAAGGTTCAGTTCAGTTCAGTTTTTACAACCATTAACCATGCACTTTCGTGCGCCTGTTTTGGTTGCCCATTTGGATAAAAGAGAGAAATGAAGATTGGAATGTAGAAGCAAATTCAAGC